TTATTTTATAACTTGATGTTATAGGCCTACATAAGACTTGATTATTACTTTATATGCCCAAGCAGCCATGGGTACAGTACAAGAAACTAATTTTGTTTCATAAATCAGCATCTGCATCAGTGAATATAGCATCAGTTTTGATTCAGCAACCAGCTAGCATCAAGATATTAAGCATTTTCAAAAACAGCTAGCTGCTAATCATTGCAAATATGATGGACACAACATTATATATACAACATTCATTTAAACAACATCTTTCTTTTCATCCAACTGCATATACATTTCTCATCATAAAAATTATACATTCTTTCATTCTGTAGACATAGAAGAACATCTGAATTCAGCTCACTATGATATAACAATTATACTGTGTTAAACGCTTATATTAGATTTACAGAATCATTTCATTGTGATATAAAACTCATCTCATACCTTATTTTAGAACACCTACAAGGGAGGTTCTTGGGAGGGCTCCATCACAGGCATCACATGAAGTACAGGAATTGGTAGTCCAGAGAAAATATCTGAGCAATGTTCTTTTTAGTGAAACAAAGCATTCTGTAAACATGGTAAACAGAGTAACAATAAATTTTATAAAAAAAAATTCAAAGGAAATTCTTTCGATTTAGTCTAGCTATTAAATTATCTTAATACCGTATAATGGGTAATTTTTACTCTGTAAATTTTTACGAATTTTGGTGAAAAAAGGGTGATTTAAATTATTACGCGTTAATTTTTTTACGAATTGAACATGTCCGTAAAAATTAAAATCATCAGATGTAAAATTCCAGATCACTGATTGTTAGCACTTTGAATGCATTTACGCACAAATAATGTGTCCGAAAACCCGATGAGAGAGAGGGAGAGAGAGAGAGAGATTAAATTATAATGATATAAACAATGCAACAAATTACATGTATTAAAAAAAATTATCATTTACTTCTTTATACACAAACCATGTACCCTTCTATAAAACACATAGCTACATGTGGCACACCGCGTGTTCGTCTGGATTTACCGAAAAACAAGAGAGACAACTCAAACTATCATAATATTGAATTGAAAGTATACAAGTACAGTGTATTAAAAAGTCGAAGTTTTATTCAAAGCACATGAAAAAATGGGTATAATTGGAAGACCTATGATTATTAAGTCATTATCAGAATTAATGCGTCTCGTAAAAATACTTTTAAAAAAAGTAACCAGGTAGATCTTACTGATTAATTTAATGGACGATATTTGTAATTTTTACAAGTTAATGGATATTCATCTATTATCACAATGGATGATTGACTTAAATGTGTTCAAAATACCAACAGTACACTAATTACTAGGATATAGCCTCTAGGGAGTGAGCTCAATGACAATTAGCATTACTTTTACTCATACAATGTTGAAAATTTACACGAGCCGTTTTATAATTTGTGTGAAAGTTTACGCGTTTAATTTTTACTTATTTATAAAACTCATAAAAATTAGCAGCACGTAAAAAATACCCGTTATACACATACTTTCATTATTATTTTTCAATATGAAAATATATTTGTTCAATTTTGCTGCTTCTTTCATTTGAGGGATAATTTATATATCATTAATATAAATGACTTTTCCCCAATGACATCTTCAAATACTAGCTGCACTAATCTGCAAATCAGACTGAGTATGGTCCAAATGACTTGTATATTTATACTTATGTAGTACAATATTGTGTGAATATCATTATATAAAGAATTATACATCTAATACTTGCACCATGTGCATCTATTTTCACAAAAAATAAAACAAAAAAGAAATAATATTTGAATATCAAAATTTTGATTTACAAATAACACAACTGATTTACCATATATGTTTAATACGTAGAGCTGTTTCACGTAGCCGTCATTGGACATTTAACTTTGAGTGACTGACGCTCAATGAAGGATGATCCGATCTTACACAACTATAAATGGCTCATTAATGAAACCAATTGAACTCTGCTCAAAAAATTTGAAAACCTGTTTTTAACTTCAAGATATTTTGAAATAATGACGAACACTTTTGGTATTTTGAAACAAAGTACATTTATTAGTTCCCCGCTAGCTACAGGTGACCTAATCGTGGTCTGCAAGAACCACGTGGACATTTTCGGATCCTCCATATAATGTTTAAAATTGATGTGCACCAGATCACAGGTTTTTCATACTCAAAATGTAATTACTGACACTAGGAGTTTTGTAAGATATCTGATATAAGGCTTATATTTCACAATAAACACAAACATTCGACTTACCAACTCCTACTTTCACTTTAGCTGAATATCGCATGACAGACATCAGAATTAAACTGCGCATAGCGAATATAGTTCTTAATTTTCGTGCAATATTGTTTAAAATTATTTGACATCACACTCCACCTGTAGGATTAATATACTTAATATTTAACCAAAAGTATTTTATAGCCTTACCTTGTAAAGGAATAACAGGCGTTAACTTCAATAGAAACTGCTAAAACTGGGAGCGTATTAATTTATCAGGTCCATTGTAAAATCCAAGAAGGAGCATTCTATGATGCGGAGTAAACATCTGTAACTTTTATTAACAACAATATTAAATATGTCGATCGATACTTTAAACACATGGACATGTTTTAATAGATACCTGCTTATAATTTTTTTGTGTAATGGGGGCCCTAGAGACAACAGATTATAAAAATATTCAATAGTTTTCAATACCGGAATCATGGGCATGATGGGAATGGCAACTCACCAATTTCGCATGGCAGGCATGCCTAGGTGGTGAAAAATATTACAATTATAGAAAAAATACGCATATAATTACTAGGAACAAAACAAATAGTTGCACCAATGACGTTCAACTATCTGTACATATACAATAAAGAATCAGGGGCAGTAAGCATATATGAGCTGCCCAATATTTTTAAAAAAATTTTATACCAGTGTTATCATTAAGTTGGTTTATTTTTCATATTACGAGATGTCAAGTTTGATGTAAATAGCAATAAAATTTTCAATATTTGATTTGTAGTTGAGTTATCACGATGTGAAGTTGTGAGATTTTTCCGGAATTGAGAAATTTCCATCAAATTCTCACATTCAAAACAAGATTTAGATTTGGCCGCACGCAAACAACACGATAAAAATTTAATAGATTGTTTGAAATGGCACAATAAATTATTTCCCAAAGTATCATTCTGTTGTTTGCATGCGGCCACCATGAAAAATATATAAAACGATGTTTTTCTAGGCGCGATTTTGATCGCTTCCGGTTTCGGTTTTTATATTCAAATGACAGCAGCAGACGTAAACAAAAGCTGGATGTCGGACTCAGTCAAAAGGGACAATGTCACGAATGTGACAGTAGATTTATTTAACCATTAAGCAGGTAAGGATGAATTGAAAATCAGAGTAATTTTCATTTTGCATGCTCTATTTACATGCATCGCTCAAAATTAAATCCCCTCCCAAACATTATTGATAAAAGATTTGACATGACAGACTCCGCTAACTCCATGAGCTCTGGGGGGCGATAATCATGTCAAACAGTTGTTTCTAAAATATATTAAACAGGAACACAGCTATCTTCTTTGAGAAAAAAAATAGATTATAAAGAGTTGACTTAATCATCGATTCTCTTTGATTTAGGCCTAATGTTCATGATTCATGAGCCCTCGATCGGCCGGTTGATCTGCTTGACTAGCCACTGTTAGCCACGTTTTATCAGTTGTGAAAATCTTTACATATACGGAAAATGTACACGTATAAGTGCATATAGTATGTATAGCATCCATATAACTTGCCATTTTGTCATCCTATATTCTGGTTAAATGTACGCACAAGCTGTAGGGGCATGTAGTGTGCCGAGAATTTGATCAAGTGATGGTCAGCTGAAGTGATACTTAGATAATTTGGCAAGAACGTTTTTATATATCACTTTTAATCGATTTGGCATTAAAATATAAGTAAACTTCCTTTCTATGTTGGTGTTTTTTTAAAATGCCAACATATTTTTCTGTCTAAGTACAAAATACAACCGAGTTTAGAGCGTTTACAATTCAAGGGACCTTACTCTGGTACCTGTGCAAATGTATGGTGTGCCATAACAGTCAAAAATATTTTTTAAAAATGGTACGAGGTTTTTTTTTTTTTTGGTTTGCTTGTTTGGTTTTCTTTTCCTTTCTTTTTTTTTTATTAAAACGAAATTTAAAAAGTTAAGTTTCTTTAAAACTAGCTAATATCACTAAATCTAATTGATGTTCTTTGCAGAATGAATAATATAAATTCTTTCTATTTTTCTTGTGGGGACAATGTATTTTTTAAAACCAATTAATTAAAATATTATTAATGTAAAATTAACCTTTTGTTAGTAATAAAAAAAAATAACTAGATTACCTTGGAATATTATAAAGTAATTTAAATCACCATTTAAATAAAAAAAAAATGTTTGTCTTTACAAGATTCATCTAGGTGTTTTGTTTTAATTTAGATTACCCAATAATGCCTTTGCCTCTGAGTTTTATTCATTAAACTCAAATAGGTTAATCAATAATACTGCTATTTAAATTGATTTCATGAATGAATTAATTATATATTTAACATACCTGGTAACATTAACCTGTATTTATTAGTTAACTATATATTATTAGTATACTATATATGCACTGTATAAGTAAACCCCCCTCCTTCCATAATTAAGGACAAAATGTGCATACATAATATATACACAGGTACTTGTGGACAGGAACCCCCCCCCCACCCCCGATTTTCAACCCTGGGGCTTATTTGACATTTTTTTCACAATTTATATTTAGTACACTTCTTTAACATGTTTGCAATAGGAACAAATCGTCATTACCCCAAAATAATCGCTCTGCAATAAAAAAAAAATACCCCACTATACATTATCAGAGAGATCTTATAATGGGGGGGGGGGGGTCCTGTCCACAAGTACCTGTGAATATATATAGTAATTTTATTTTGATATTTATATTTGAATTGTAGAATGCCTGGAGATGGCCCAAAGCAACATCCTTGTATATCTTGTGGGAAAAGAACCAAAGCTGATCAAAGACGTTTCATTAAGCCTGGATCTTCTGAATCGTACAAACTATACCTTCAACATTTGGGACTTTCTGTTAATTGTGAAAACTATGTATATGTTACATGCCTGAACTGTCATACGAAATTCTACAAGTCCATAAAGAAAACTTCAAAAGAAACAGAGGAAGATTATGAACCACCAGCAAAGTCTCTGAAATCAGATGTCAAAAGTCCGAACATTATTCCATTGCCCATAGTTTCTTCAGGAAAAAGTCACTCATCCTGTGTCATTTGTAAGAAGAGGACATCAAGGCTCCTCACCCTGTCTGCAGAGAGACGGCATCATATATTCATTTTATCAGGACACCTTCTGCTGTCGGGTGCACGGTGCTGCCGGTCCCACTAAGCACCAGACTTTTCTCTGAAAGATGATGCTATCAGATGTCTAGAGAACCCATCTTCTGGTTCCAGGTCTGTACATGACACCACCTACTTCAACAAAACAGACATTTTTTCTTTGATTTCGACAATAAGAGCAGCAGCAATTAGAAATAAGAAAAACAGATTAGACTTTGACAGCAGCGATGGCCTTTCTGACGCAGATTCTGTGAATTTAACAGGAATTTCCAGAGCAGATTTTGACGATGTGGTGTCGCATGTGCAGTCGATTAGAGCTACGATGAATCGCAGCATCAGAGCTTGTATTGCTCTTCTACTGGTGAAACTAAGGACTGGTCTTTCCCATCGAATGCTATCAACACTCTTCAACATTGAAAAATGTGGTGTCAGAGGGGCAATAACAACAGCCAGGAGAGAACTTTCTGAGACTTTTACTCCTAAATATGTGGGATTTGACCATATCTCAAGGGAAGAGATTATCCAGGATCACACGACGCCACTTGCGAAGGAGCTGTTTGGCAGTGATCTACACAATCCAGCTATTTTAGTCGTGGATGGAACCTACGTTTTTATCCAAAAAAGTAGTAACTTCAGGTTCCAGCGCAGGTCGTACAGCCAGCACAAAAACCGACCTCTAGTCAAGCCGATGGTTATAGTGTCTACGACCGGCTACATAATATCAGTCCTTGGACCATATTTTGCAGACCAGAAAAACAACGATGCGAGCATCCTGAAGCACAACATTCAGTCCAACATGGAGAACATCAAAGATTGGCTGCATCAGGAGGATGTCCTCGTAGTGGACCGTGGCTTCAGAGACTCAATCAATTTCCTTGACAGCTTGGGAATCAGATGCCAGATGCCCGCCTTTCTTCCAAAGGGCCAGAAACAACACACAACAGATGAGGTATAAAAATGCACACACACATTCAATTTAAAACTCTTTTTTAATCAAAATTGAAAGAAAAAAAAAGCTTATAATTATTTATATTTCAATCTTATACACTGTTATAGTATATTAATAATAAAAGTCAGTAATAATTGACATGCTCACAATGTAAACACTTAATTAAGAGTAATTATATTTTTTGTACCCAAGTTTACAATGTATATATATTTTTTCATGTTTTGCAGGCGAATACATCGAGACTGGTCACCAAAATCCGTTGGATTGTTGAGTCGGTAAATGGACGACTGAAACAGTGGAAGTTTTTGCAAAATGTTGTCCCGAATACCCAGATACCCTTCATCAGGGATTATGTGTGCTTGGTTGCAGCTCTCTGTAATAAGTACAGACAACCCTTAAATGCTGGAAACCCAGAAAATAATGTGATTTTAGCCGCTAAAATGAAGGTAAGGACATGCAGTATTTGTTTCATTCCTTTTTTGTGAATTTATTAATGTATACAAATTGTAATTATTAATTTAAAATCTCTATTAAATTATAAGAAATATTGTGTCAAGTAATTTTTATTGTATTCATTTTAACTTTCCATTATTTTACTCTGTGGAAAAATTCATTGTTCATGTATTTTTATGTTCATGTGTTTAAGCTATGCCAGTATAAACTACTGTACATATGTCTTATATTGAATTTTTCATTACACTTGTGTCCAAAGTAATATTGAATTTTTCATTACACTCGTGTCCAAAGTTCAAAAACGTTTTTTTTTGTTTTGTTTATTAATTTATGCATGTATTAATAGTTCATATGAGATAAAATTGGAATCTGAAGTAAAAAAAAAATTCTCTTATATAGTACTTAGCCTCTCAGACGAACAAACTTCAGGAGAGAGTGGAGTCTGAAGGACTACACAGAAGAGTCAAGTCATGGACCCCAATCAATGCTGCTGATTCATTGGACTTTCCACGTCTCTCAGAGGAGGATCTGTGTAATTTGACTATTGGTGTTTACCAGTTAAAGCTGGCTAAGGGGTACACTGCTCAGCATATGGATGAAGAAGGTGATTACGTCATCATGGTAAATGCTGATATTCCTGATGTTCTGCGGATAAGGATCCAGAGTCGACATATTTCAAGTAAACAATACCTTCTTTGGATAGAGCACTCAGAGGGAGCTGTTACTGGTTGGTATTGCCAGTGTCGTGCTGGAGCAAGAATTGTCGGGGCATGTGCCCATGTGGCCTCAGTTTTGTGGTTTCTCGGCTACGAGAGACATGATAACTTTGCAGTGAGACCATCTCAAGACTGGGCTGACTATCTTGAGGATGCAGCTGTGCTTCCTGACTCCTCAGAAAGTGAAATGAGCGCCACTGAAGAGTGACAAGAATTGTGCCATTGATTTATATCCACTACATCATATTACAAGTTGTAAATATTGAAAGATTTATTATGTATCTTGACAAATGAAATGATTTGTTATTATCATTTGATTACACTTCATGAATTATTGTTATCAAAATTAATATACTGATGTAAAATACATAATGCATCACAAAATGTTTCTTAGATAAAAGTAACTATTACAGTTTATTATGCAATGTGTTGATTTGCATATTGATTTTTGTTAATTTAACATGACCATAAACAAGTACTTGTTATTTTTTGTAGTACAATGTAATTACAAAACCTTTTCAGACAAACATGTACTAGTATAACTAATTCTTTGATGCTTAATTCATTTTTATGACATTTTGATAAACATTATCTTATTTAAGTAAATGTAGTGTATAAGGTATGTCAGTGGTGTGATGTTTAACATCTATGATCTTTTTGGTAAAAGTATAGGTGGATGATGGTAGTTCTGGAATTTGTTTATGCAAAATGAAATCCCTTATTCTTATTTTTGTCAAGTTTAATGAATTGTTATTAAAAATGTTAGTTGAATACATTTCTCGTTTGTTCACTTTGAGCATTCAAAGTCTTTTTATGTTAAATACATAAAATAGTACTTGTCTTTGAAAAATTAACATTTTTCTGTGAATTCAAAATAATATAAACTTAAGGGTTTTTTCTCATTTATAGTTTCTGATAGAGTTAATAGGATTAAATTTAGGCCATCCTTAAAAAATTGTTTGTTTGGAATTGCCGCCTGGAGGGTTTCAGACACAGGAGGGAGGGAGGAAAATATTTTTTTTTTTTACATTGAAGATAAGTTATAAATATTACATAGATCTGACACTATATTTTAGTGTTTTGTATGGTGCATGTGATACATGTAATGGGCAAAAAAATTGATTAAATAAAAAAAAAATCTTCCTACTTTTGGTCAATAAAATTTTTTCAGGAGGGGGCATTTCAATGAGGCGGGAGGCAATTCCAAACAAACTATAATTTTATTTTGGCCTTATTTAAAATATTTTTCTGTAAAGTACATATTGTGAGTGGAGTCCATTAGACATCTTAAGTTCCCAGGTATCTGATTTTGAACATAAAAACAACTGTTTTACATTAAAATCCGTTTTTGTACCACTTTTAGCTAAAAAAAATAGTTTCTATTCACATGTTAAAGATCATTTCTGATGTATTTGTATTAAAAATCCATATTTTATTTCTTTGATTATATTTACAGAAAAAAAAAATTATCAAAAATTTCCAGAAATCAGTGAAAATTGTTATTTTTGTATTGACCCAAAATGGCTTAAAAGTGGTTTATTCGTCAAAATATGTCTGAAAAGGGGTGATTCAATCAAAATTCTTTTAATATTTATAATATTTTGTCCATTATGGTTGGGGCATATTTAGGGTCTTAATGCCCCTGATTCTTTCACGTAACTGTTTTATGAAAGCTGCAGCTGTGCAGTCCTGCAAGTGAATTATGCACATTGCTGCTGCAAGGCATTGCAAGTGACAATACATTTCAAGACAGTTTTGAAATAGAAGGTGTCGTGGGTCAGATTTTATGAAAAAGCAAGATGTTGTTAATCAGTTAAATTTTTAATCAGAATATCATGGCCTCAGCTGGTTTAAAACACAGAACCAAATTTAATTGTTGAAAAGTTGTTACATGATACTGAGGTGAGGCAGGGTCGCAGTGGGTAAAGCTTTTGCTCTGGAGTCGCGAAGTGAGGGGTTAATCCTTACGTCGCGGTTTCGAATTTCACTGTTGGACGTGGTGACTGGTCCTTTGGATGTGACCGGAGAAACCCTGGTCCCCTGTCAAGGTAAGTGCTGGCACGAAAAAAAATCCCCCTACTCAAGGGTATGGGACAAAATTTGCAACTCTCCAACGGGAAGTGGGTGACGTTTGATATAATAGAAAAAAAAACTCGAGACGGACTTGAAACAAAATTCAATTAATCATTCAATAAAAAATTATTATTACTTTTTTGTTTCTTATTTATTTTTTAAAATAAATCTTTGTTAATCTTTGCATTTTTTAAGATCCATATTAAATTTTAGGCTTTTTTACGTGAACTTCTAACGGTATTGTAATTTGACATGCAAAAAATATAACATTAAAGGGTGGTTATTCGGAAAGAAGACCTCTAACTCGTTGCTCCCAACGATTATCTAGCTATATAGTTGTATGTGTATAATGATACACTATAATCACATGTTTGAAGTTTCATGGCAATCTTCGTTTGCTACACGGATGATAGAAAGGCTTCATGGCTTTACGTTTTGAAGAAATCTTATCATGCTTTTTATATTACATTTAACATGCTACACAAAATCATACAAAATATAAATTTCCCAAGCTTTAAAAACAAGTTCATTGAACAGCTGGCACGGGGCTTTACAACGTGGAAAAAAAAGCATCGTAGCCTCTTTTTATCACACAGGTCCCGGATCTGTTCATAGGTTCAACAGTACTAAGTTTCGAGATTATCTCCCTTGTTGCGCTCTTTCGTTAAGGAGAGGAGTTTCGTTGTCGCGTAAACTGGGACAAATATTTACAAGTTAAATTTATGCAAAGCATCAAATCGGCCGCAAAAAATCTTTCACAAGCAAGGAAAGCACAAGTTATTCAAAGGTGATATAGTTGAATCATCTTTACTCAGATGTCTTTAAAGCAAAAAAAATAATTTTAGACATTTTTCCGCATTTGCTCATAAATAGATTTATCGATGTAAAAAAAAATATGTTATTAATGTATAATAAGAATTTAATGTCATCAAAAAGAAGATGTATAGGCCTGTCAAGATGAGCCACCTGCTGCTACCCGAGCTTCGATACCCTTGATCTTGATCACATGATAATGCCCATAGTTTCTGCAGAGTAGGCTTTGCTGCAAGCTGCGGTGCAAAATTTAAAAAAAAATATATTTGTGTCGTTTGAAGATGTAGAGTGAATTCAAACAATTTTACTAGTAGCTGAAAAACTCCTCAATGTTTTATTCACCATGCACTTGAATAACATCTTCATTATCCGGAAAAACATGACAATTTCTTTTCTTATCTTACACACTCCCATGCTGGGGAGTATCTAATGTAAACTCTTTATATAACCATAAATTATCGATAATCTGACGAGAAATGATAATGAAATTGAAATATAATAACAAAATTTAGTACTAAGTTTAAACAAGTTTTTAAAATATTTTACTCATGATTTTTACTTGTAATCATTTACGAATTATTTTATTGAATTAAAAAGATAATAACGTCTCATTTCCCCATGTGCACTTCCTTACACAAATAGATCGGCCGCTGCTGCGGCCGATAATTTTGATGCCTTGCACCATCGATATACTGGTCTATCATAACTGCCTGTTTGTCAGGATTATCGAATTAATGTAAAGCCATTATTTTAAAGGAAAACAATCATAAAAAAAAAGAAAGCATCAGTGGATGTGAGACTTTTCATAGACTCGGTATTGCATTACTGTCCGAAAAAAAGAGATTTTTATGCTGTATACTTATTTTCTTTTTCATTTTATGAAAAGCTCAATTCATTCTTCTCTGATAAAGAACGGGACGAATAAATATACTTTCAAGTAACATCTTTGACATAGGGTTTTCTAGTGATGGAACGATTGTCGCCGACAATCGATTGTCGGTCGTTAGAAGCTCTTCGATGCTACTAATCGATTATAAAATAAATGTCGCCGACATCGCTAACAAAAAATGAAATTGTCATACTTAAATTTTATTACCAAATCCAAGTGCAAAGAGCATAAAAGTAGTGATGAATGTTGAAAACATGAAAGGATTCCGTGTTTTGTTGATACTTTTACCGCCATGATTTAATATATGGTCAGACTAAAACCAGGAAACGGTGATATTGCAAGGTTTTACTATATATATAAAGGAAAACATAATTAGTTTAGTCAATCTTTAAACGTAATTATGATCAGAAATACAGGTCTTTCTTCTGGATAACTAATTTTAAAACTTGCAATTTTTTACTAATTAAAACTAAATAAAAGATAAAGGTACATGTTTTAAATGAAAGGTGGGACTAATATCAGTAAAATACCAGTTGCATGGACTCTATTAAAAAAAATAAATTCCTATTCTGTTTTTAATAGTCCTACATTGTTTAGAGTAAACAAAATATTATTTTCCACTTAAAAAAAAAATCAATTAACATTTTTGAATATTTTATCATTTTTTATGTATTTAAATGAATTTTTTGTAAAAGTCTGACAGAAATCTGAATTAGTTTTAACTTTTCTTTATTAATTTCATTATAGTTCAAAATTTCGATTATGCCCATCCGATTATTACCGATAATCGATTCTGATTTTTTTCCGATTCCCCATTACTAGCGAACACGCCAGCATGGATCCTTCCTGGACATAGAAATAGCTGACATGTGGACAAAAACATCAATTAAACGATAACTAAATATGAGTCGTCTGATTAGCCCCACTCAATGAGCAAGAGGCACGAACATTCTCCTTAATCTGGTGCATTCATTTCCCCCAGACCCGCACCTTTACACTTTGGTTCTTTGAGCCTCTTTTGCCCCTGGCCTGCCCGACATGTTCTTACCACTCCCCATAAGTCGTTCTGGGCACTCACGTCGGAAATGCCCAGGCTGATGACATTTAGAGCAACGACCTCTCCAGCGCTTTTGCTTGCGTTGCCAGGGGAAATCCTGTCCCCTGCCTTGGGGGTCTCTTTGGTCATGCCTATCTCCTGACTTGAGACCAGAATTTTCCCTCTGTGGCTTCCAACTTCTGGTCTTCCAGGAACCCGTACATGGAGCTTGTGAGGGAGACTTTTTCTCCACGCCTGACGGTGTACTGCCTAACGAGACATAGCGCACTACTCTGTGTTGAGGAGTAAGGGCTTGACAGCTTAGCTGGTAAGTCTTTTCAGCCTCATCCAAATTAACAGGGGGACTGTCGATTAGCCGTCTGCCTGCGCGCACAACTAGGCAGCCCATCGCAAACCGCA